ATAAAATTTATTACCTAAAGAGAATTTAGTACAGGCGCGTACAGCGCTGTCACTGCAGGGCCGCCTAAAATTATCACAGTTGTGGGCCCTGCAGTGCTAACAGAGAATCATCTAAAAGAGGAAAAATATATCAGAATCAAGCGATGGACATGGCAGGAAACACTAAGCACAAACAACTAAGTCCACAGGCTCCTTCGGAACACCAGAGCGAAATTCCTCCTCACACAAGGAAATCACAAAGCTACCATGAGTTTGGTTTGGCTTGAAAGGAAAACGATGACGGAAAAAGTTCACTTTCTTCACAAGAACGTTCCCAACAGCAACCCTCAACTTCTCACGCCCTTCCTTAGGGAAATCGAAAACACATTCATCCCAATGGCCCGTGTCCACATGCACTTGAAGACCAGCACCAGACTTGTTAGGAGACACATGCAGTTTGAAGAACCAAAGACGCTCTTCATCGGAATCAGAGTCAGACGCAGACGGGGAAACCTCCTTGACGACTTGAGGGGGAGCAACCCGACGGCCACGCGCACTAACGGTACCACGAGGCAGAGGCGGAAATCCAGCACTATCACCACCTTGAGAGTCCAGAGGGATCTGAGCTAGCAGAACGTCAGACTGAGACTGCTGATCGGCCCAACTAACGGGGGAAGAAGGAGACACAGAGACACGAGCAACCTGCTTCCTCTTCTCAAACACTCCAGCACCTGGAAGATCACGTGTACACTGCTTCTTGGTAGGAGGGACAACGGGTTGAGGCTCCACGGCATCGTCATTCTCAACGTCAGAATCGGCTGACAAACCATCCATGTCACTGTCAACCTTGGACCCATCAACAACACTGACTTCAGGCAGAGAAACCACAACCCGGGGTCGGTCATCCAACGAATCAACACCAGCCACAGACTCCGTAACGGAAACAACACTAGCACAGCCAGCAACAACAGTATCAACAGGTTCCACGTCCATCACATCAGGGTCGACAACGTCAGGAACATCAGGAGCCACAGTAGAATTTCCGGTAGAAGGGGTAGGTACATCCGAACCGGGACAACGGGCACGCACATGACCAACGGAGTGGCACTTGAGGCAGATAGGCAGACGACCCGGAGCTGTAACAAGCATGGACTGCTTATCCCCAAACCGCACAATATGAGGGATACACGTACGTTCAGCATCCGTGAGCTCCATCCGTACAATACGGACACCAGTGAAAATGTTAACACCATCCACATCAATAAACTCCCGGAAGGCGTCCAACACACGACCATAACGGCTGAAGAAATCCTTGAGAAAGTCACTAGTAACGGTAGCATGCAGCCAATGGATCCGCAAGGGAACCATGAAGACACCATATGCATAAAAGTACAACTTCTCATCACCAGTGGAGACACATTTCAAGTCCAGCAATTTTCGGGCCACAGAAACAGATTTCAAAGTCACATACACCTGGCCGGAGCGTTCCGTCCTCCATATGGCTTGGCAATCACTCAAGGCAAAGTCAGGCACAGCAGCAGTTAACAGGCGAGCAAAGTCTGGCACAGAGGTAAAACGAGCAGTCGAATACACCCTCACAGTCCGGGATTCGACCTCCTTATCCACGAACTGCTCCGGGACTGGTCCAGCATTCACGGCAGAGCTGTAAGCCATGGCAGGAGAGGAGAGGTGAGGGGTGACCACTGAAGATCACACAGCCAAAGCTGATACCCACTCGTAGACCTTGAAAAGAAGTTCAAATTAACACAATGCAAAAACAACCAATACTCTATAATCGCCACAGTGACAAGCAATGACACTCGACCAGTGACTAAGCCATACTTTGAGCTTAGACAAAAGGCCGAGAAGCGATGCCGGTTGCCGGCTTGCGCCGCCAAAGTACATCTACTGACACAACATACCATTTAGCTGCTGTTTATTTACATGAAGCGCTTAAAATCAGTGGCCAGCAATATTACATGCACAAATGAGTAAAAATGTTGACAGCACACGAGTGCGACACCCGAATGCTAGACGTTTGTGAAGATATTCAGCGTCTTTGATGAATGTAAAAATGGAGTAAATAGACCCATTTTGCTATGTATAAAGAGTGCGCCGATAAAACATGGCCAGACGTTGGGTAAACGTCCTGCAGCGACCCAGTCCAACGTGAATACCGGCCGCGACATTAGGACTTAATGAGTGGAGTCGGGGAGGCAAGGGGAGACAGGCCAGCTTGAATTAGCTTGGGCCCGACTTTGACAGAGTCGCGCGTGGGTAAGAAGAGTGACAATCCCATCCAAATTGCCCCAATGTATTAAATAAACTAAAGGTAAAGATACTTAAGGTGTCCAGTAAAGCGAAAAATTAATGAATTGTATGAAAAATTGCACTGAAGACGAAACAAAAACGACTGAACTGTAATGAATATTGGAAAATGAACTCACTTGCACAAAGTGTAACGACGCATCAGGCGTGTGTGTAGTTCTTTAAACATCTATTTAGGGGGATGCGACGTTGAAAAACATCTTGTAGTGACGAAGCAGACTGTTGTTGTGACGGCGTGATTGTCTGGACGTCATTTCCGGCGTACGGCGTCATGGGCGACGGCCTTGGTTACGGGGGACTGCATGCAGCTGAAAGTTGAAAAATGCTACTTTTACAAACTTTTAGGGGTTGGTGTGGTTAAAGGACGGGCTGCACGTGTGAACAGGTATATTTCTAAGGTTTAGAAGTAATAAAATAGAGTATCTATTGAGAACTAAGGGCGAAAAACGGAGCGGCAGTGCAAAATAAGACGAATGTGAAGATGTAGGCAAAGCTGAGAGTTCTAATTTTTGATTGAAATATGAGTGGTGGGCCATTCCCGGAGGTACTGCAATACCGGGTCAACCCGTGATGAGGGCGGAGCAAGCCCCGTGGCACCTCATCCCATTCTAAAAATCAGTTTAATATCGATGTCTCCATTAGGAGACGTATCAGATATTAAGCTGATAAGAACAGATACTACACTTTGATCTTAGCCAAAAGGCCGAGAAGCGATGCCGGTTGCCGGCTTGCGCCGCCAAAGTACATCTACTGACACAACATACCATTTAGCTGCTGTTTATTTACATGAAGCGCTTAAAATCAGTGGCCAGCAATATTACATGCACAAATGAGTAAAAATGTTGACAGCACACGAGTGCGACACCCGAATGCTAGACGTTTGTGAAGATATTCAGCGTCTTTGATGAATGTAAAAATGGAGTAAATAGACCCATTTTGCTATGTATAAAGAGTGCGCCGATAAAACATGGCCAGACGTTGGGTAAACGTCCTGCAGCGACCCAGTCCAACGTGAATACCGGCCGCGACATTAGGACTTAATGAGTGGAGTCGGGGAGGCAAGGGGAGACAGGCCAGCTTGAATTAGCTTGGGCCCGACTTTGACAGAGTCGCGCGTGGGTAAGAAGAGTGACAATCCCATCCAAATTGCCCCAATGTATTAAATAAACTAAAGGTAAAGATACTTAAGGTGTCCAGTAAAGCGAAAAATTAATGAATTGTATGAAAAATTGCACTGAAGACGAAACAAAAACGACTGAACTGTAATGAATATTGGAAAATGAACTCACTTGCACAAAGTGTAACGACGCATCAGGCGTGTGTGTAGTTCTTTAAACATCTATTTAGGGGGATGCGACGTTGAAAAACATCTTGTAGTGACGAAGCAGACTGTTGTTGTGACGGCGTGATTGTCTGGACGTCATTTCCGGCGTACGGCGTCATGGGCGACGGCCTTGGTTACGGGGGACTGCATGCAGCTGAAAGTTGAAAAATGCTACTTTTACAAACTTTTAGGGGTTGGTGTGGTTAAAGGACGGGCTGCACGTGTGAACAGGTATATTTCTAAGGTTTAGAAGTAATAAAATAGAGTATCTATTGAGAACTAAGGGCGAAAAACGGAGCGGCAGTGCAAAATAAGACGAATGTGAAGATGTAGGCAAAGCTGAGAGTTCTAATTTTTGATTGAAATATGAGTGGTGGGCCATTCCCGGAGGTACTGCAATACCGGGTCAACCCGTGATGAGGGCGGAGCAAGCCCCGTGGCACCTCATCCCATTCTAAAAATCAGTTTAATATCGATGTCTCCATTAGGAGACGTATCAGATATTAAGCTGATAAGAACAGATACTACACTTTGATCTTAGCCAAAAGGCCGAGAAGCGATGCCGGTTGCCGGCTTGCGCCGCCAAAGTACATCTACTGACACAACATACCATTTAGCTGCTGTTTATTTACATGAAGCGCTTAAAATCAGTGGCCAGCAATATTACATGCACAAATGAGTAAAAATGTTGACAGCACACGAGTGCGACACCCGAATGCTAGACGTTTGTGAAGATATTCAGCGTCTTTGATGAATGTAAAAATGGAGTAAATAGACCCATTTTGCTATGTATAAAGAGTGCGCCGATAAAACATGGCCAGACGTTGGGTAAACGTCCTGCAGCGACCCAGTCCAACGTGAATACCGGCCGCGACATTAGGACTTAATGAGTGGAGTCGGGGAGGCAAGGGGAGACAGGCCAGCTTGAATTAGCTTGGGCCCGACTTTGACAGAGTCGCGCGTGGGTAAGAAGAGTGACAATCCCATCCAAATTGCCCCAATGTATTAAATAAACTAAAGGTAAAGATACTTAAGGTGTCCAGTAAAGCGAAAAATTAATGAATTGTATGAAAAATTGCACTGAAGACGAAACAAAAACGACTGAACTGTAATGAATATTGGAAAATGAACTCACTTGCACAAAGTGTAACGACGCATCAGGCGTGTGTGTAGTTCTTTAAACATCTATTTAGGGGGATGCGACGTTGAAAAACATCTTGTAGTGACGAAGCAGACTGTTGTTGTGACGGCGTGATTGTCTGGACGTCATTTCCGGCGTACGGCGTCATGGGCGACGGCCTTGGTTACGGGGGACTGCATGCAGCTGAAAGTTGAAAAATGCTACTTTTACAAACTTTTAGGGGTTGGTGTGGTTAAAGGACGGGCTGCACGTGTGAACAGGTATATTTCTAAGGTTTAGAAGTAATAAAATAGAGTATCTATTGAGAACTAAGGGCGAAAAACGGAGCGGCAGTGCAAAATAAGACGAATGTGAAGATGTAGGCAAAGCTGAGAGTTCTAATTTTTGATTGAAATATGAGTGGTGGGCCATTCCCGGAGGTACTGCAATACCGGGTCAACCCGTGATGAGGGCGGAGCAAGCCCCGTGGCACCTCATCCCATTCTAAAAATCAGTTTAATATCGATGTCTCCATTAGGAGACGTATCAGATATTAAGCTGATAAGAACAGATACTTTTCTTTTTCATAAAATTTATTAGACCAAGAATTGAAACAGAAAATACACAAAAGGAGACAGTAGGACCACTACCTACAAAATAAAAAGCCTATCACAGTGGTGAGGTAGTGGCCATAACAATAGAAGAACTAGAAGAATAATGCTGAAAGAAGATAACAAAAAATCAGGCAACAGCCATAGTGAGCACAAAGTAACACAGTCAGTTTCCAGTGGAATCAAAATCTCTCACTATTTCTTTGCACACTTGGCCAAATCAGATAATGTTACTGTCAATGTGAAGTTTTGGTAAGGCACATCCGGGGGAAGCACATAGTTGGGGAGATTGGACCATACTTTGGTGTTAACGACAGCCTGTAACAACCGCTTGTGTACGATAGCCGCTTCATGTCCTTCATTCAGTCGATCCTCCACAAAAGTGTTTAAACTTGACATGTAGATGTTTACATCCGGGTATTCACCACTGGTCCTCGTCACTCTGACATTAACTTTCCACGATGTTGTCTTCGGAGTACTGGTTCCTTGAATGGCTCTCATTTCCGTCGACGCTCTCTCGGGGACAGTTACAACAACCGTGTGGTCACGGTTCTCCTCCACATCGGAATCGTGCACACTCGGAACACTCAACATGTCGTCATCATCATCATCCGAAGCACTGGAATCTGCATCATGTCGGTCCATTTGTTCCGCCCAACTGGGCACAGAAGTAGGTACATCCTTTGGTCCAAGAATAATCTCCTCACTGGCAACTTCCCCAGGCATGTCCATCAGTGCCATAGCAGAGTCCAACTGGGAAGGAATGTCGTCCTCAGGCACGGGGGCAGTTTTCCCTTTCTTTGCGCTCACGAGTGAATCAGACTGCTTCCTCTTCAAACTTAGGGCGGAATCCATATCATCGTCTGTAGGAAAGACTTCCGGCTCTTTAGCCTGAGTAGCAGACTGTGGCTGTGGTCTCTTCCTTTCTTTAGGCTTGACTGTGGGAGGGTCCGAGTCCATTCCATCTGAATCAGAATCACTACTGTTGACTTCTGTTGTCCTGGGTTTCGGATCTGGAGCACTAGCCGGACACTTAGCACGCACATGACCATGAGTGTGGCACTTGAGGCAAATAGGTAATCTCCCTGGGGCCGTAATAAGCATACTCTGCCTATCCCCGAACTTCACAATGTGAGGAATCCGCTCTTTTTCATCATCTGTAAGTTCCATTTTCACTATGCGAACTCCTGAATAGATGTCCACACCATCTATCGTCTCAAATTCCCTCAACACATCAAGAACTTTTCCATACTTGGCGAAATATTTCCTCAGAAAGTCACTCCTCACTGTGGCATGAATCCAATGAATACGCAATGGCACCATAAACTTGCCATAACTGTAAAAGTACACCTTATCCTTCCCAACAGCAACACACTGCAGCTTCAAAAGGTCCCGGGCACAATCCACATTCTTCATCGTAATGTATATCTGTCCATACTTATCCGTCTTCCAGATACCTCTACAATCGGCCAAGTTGAATTCCGGTACAGACGTCTTCATGTAGGACACAAACTCCTGAGTAGAAGATACCTTGGCAGTAAGGTAAACACGCAAAGTCCTGGCAGCAGCCTCCTGGTCCACATACTCAGCTGGAATGGGACCCTCGTGGACAGCTGCAGTGAAAGCCATGATGAAGATGCAAGGAGACTAATGAAAGTCACACGACTGCAGAGCAGACGATGCCTTACGTAGACCTGGGAAGGAAGCGGCAGTAAATACAAAGCAAAATGCAATAATACACACAAGCATGTAAAGTCTCATAAACTCCCTAAGGAGAGGATCGCTACTGGATTTTGGCTCAGATACTACACTTTGATCTTAGCCAAAAGGCCGAGAAGCGATGCCGGTTGCCGGCTTGCGCCGCCAAAGTACATCTACTGACACAACATACCATTTAGCTGCTGTTTATTTACATGAAGCGCTTAAAATCAGTGGCCAGCAATATTACATGCACAAATGAGTAAAAATGTTGACAGCACACGAGTGCGACACCCGAATGCTAGACGTTTGTGAAGATATTCAGCGTCTTTGATGAATGTAAAAATGGAGTAAATAGACCCATTTTGCTATGTATAAAGAGTGCGCCGATAAAACATGGCCAGACGTTGGGTAAACGTCCTGCAGCGACCCAGTCCAACGTGAATACCGGCCGCGACATTAGGACTTAATGAGTGGAGTCGGGGAGGCAAGGGGAGACAGGCCAGCTTGAATTAGCTTGGGCCCGACTTTGACAGAGTCGCGCGTGGGTAAGAAGAGTGACAATCCCATCCAAATTGCCCCAATGTATTAAATAAACTAAAGGTAAAGATACTTAAGGTGTCCAGTAAAGCGAAAAATTAATGAATTGTATGAAAAATTGCACTGAAGACGAAACAAAAACGACTGAACTGTAATGAATATTGGAAAATGAACTCACTTGCACAAAGTGTAACGACGCATCAGGCGTGTGTGTAGTTCTTTAAACATCTATTTAGGGGGATGCGACGTTGAAAAACATCTTGTAGTGACGAAGCAGACTGTTGTTGTGACGGCGTGATTGTCTGGACGTCATTTCCGGCGTACGGCGTCATGGGCGACGGCCTTGGTTACGGGGGACTGCATGCAGCTGAAAGTTGAAAAATGCTACTTTTACAAACTTTTAGGGGTTGGTGTGGTTAAAGGACGGGCTGCACGTGTGAACAGGTATATTTCTAAGGTTTAGAAGTAATAAAATAGAGTATCTATTGAGAACTAAGGGCGAAAAACGGAGCGGCAGTGCAAAATAAGACGAATGTGAAGATGTAGGCAAAGCTGAGAGTTCTAATTTTTGATTGAAATATGAGTGGTGGGCCATTCCCGGAGGTACTGCAATACCGGGTCAACCCGTGATGAGGGCGGAGCAAGCCCCGTGGCACCTCATCCCATTCTAAAAATCAGTTTAATATCGATGTCTCCATTAGGAGACGTATCAGATATTAAGCTGATAAGAACAGATACTTTTTTTTTTTTTTTTTCTTTTTGATAATAAATTTAATGCACAAAATTGAAAATACAGTCGCGGACAGCGCAAAAGGGCATACCACTCCACTATAAAAACAAAATATCACAAAAGGGCGTGGAGTGGCAGCGATAACAGAGGCAAACTAAAGAAGAAATATACTTTAGTATTACTTTTGAAAGGCTAAGATGTAGGAGCGAAATAATGACCTAGGTCATGTCAAATACAGAGTTTCACAGAGGAATCAAAATCACAAGAATCACTTTAAACTCTGTGACGCACGGTGCAAACTAGCTAGTGTCACTGGTACCATGAAGTATTTGTATGGCACATCCTGTGGAATCACATAGTCATTGGGATGAGCCCACACCTTGGCACAGACAACCTTCTCAACCAAACGCTTATGTAGGGCCTCCTTTCCAGGTTCTGCTTTTAGGCGATCCTTAACAACAGCCTTCAAGCTGGATGTACTGATAGATATGTCAGAGTCCGTGTCTGTCCTGATCACTTTCGTATGAACTTCCCATGATGTTTTCTCCTTAATATTGGAAGGGGCTCTGTCTCCAATGGCTCTCATCTCCATCGACGCCCTTTGAATCGCTGGTACTGTTACAACAACTTCCTTGTCTTCAGTTTCCTCCATATCCGAGAAGTCCACACTTGGTACACTAAGGAGGTCATCATCATCTGTAACACTACTGTTGTCTACATCCTCTTTTTCCATCTGGTCAGCCCAACTCATGGTCCCTTCCTGAGATGGAGGTACCTGTGCTTCAGAATCACTATCCCTGGGTCCATGAAGTCCGTCTGGCATGTCCATGACTGCCATAGCAGCATCTGTCGGGGAAGACTGATCAACAATAGTAGGGAGCACATCTTCAGGCACAGTGGTAGGTTTACCTTTCTTCGTAACTAGATCCTCCGGCATGTCCATGACAGCCATAGCAGCTTCCGTCTGGGAAGGTGCATCGTCCAACTCCAAGTCAGGCACAGGGGAAGGTTTACCTCTCTTCCCATCTCTACTCACAACCGACTTCTTCCTCTTGGCAACCCCTTTCACAACATCAGAAACAGCAATGTCCGAATCCTCAGAATCCATGGCATCAGACGAATCAGCTGAAACACTGGCACCCACCTGTCTATTAACAACACGAGAAGACAAGGTAGTGGTGGGACATTGAGAGCGAACATGACCATGGGTGTGGCATTTAAAGCAAATGGGTAGTCTCCCTGGGGCTGTGATGAGCATGCTCTGCTTCTCCCCGAATTTCACTATGTGGGGTATACGCTCCTTCTCATCATCAGTCAGTTCCATTTTCACGATGCGTACACCAGAAAAAATATCAACACCTTCAATCGTCTCAAACTCACGCAACACATCCAGTACTTTCCCAAACTTTGAGAAATAGTTCCTCAAAAAGTCGCTCCGTACAGTGGCATGAAGCCAGTGGACTCTCAAGGGCACCATAAACTTGCCATAGCTGTAAAAGTAGATTTTGTCACTTCCAACACGTACACACTGCAGCTTCAATAGTTCCTGAGCACACACAACACTCTTCATAGTAAGATATACTTGCCCATACCTCTCGGTCTTCCAAATGCCACTACAATCTTGCAAGTCAAACTCCGGAACAGACGACTTCAGGTAGGATACAAACTCCTGAACAGTGGATACCTTAGCAGTAAGGTAGACACGCAGAGTCCTGGCAACAACGTCCTGATCCACATATTCCACAGGGATGGGTCCTTCGTTGATAGCTGCAGTCAAAGCCATGGTGAAGAAGTAAGGAGACTAACTAAAGTCACACGACTGCAGAGCAGACGATGCCTTACGTAGACCTGGTGAAGGAAGCGACAGTAAATACAAGGTAAAAATGGCAGAATACACACAAAAGCATATACAGTCTGAGAAACTCCCGAAGGAGGGGATCACATCTGGATTTGGCTAAGACACAACACTTTGATCTTAGCCAAAAGGCCGAGAAGCGATGCCGGTTGCCGGCTTGCGCCGCCAAAGTACATCTACTGACACAACATACCATTTAGCTGCTGTTTATTTACATGAAGCGCTTAAAATCAGTGGCCAGCAATATTACATGCACAAATGAGTAAAAATGTTGACAGCACACGAGTGCGACACCCGAATGCTAGACGTTTGTGAAGATATTCAGCGTCTTTGATGAATGTAAAAATGGAGTAAATAGACCCATTTTGCTATGTATAAAGAGTGCGCCGATAAAACATGGCCAGACGTTGGGTAAACGTCCTGCAGCGACCCAGTCCAACGTGAATACCGGCCGCGACATTAGGACTTAATGAGTGGAGTCGGGGAGGCAAGGGGAGACAGGCCAGCTTGAATTAGCTTGGGCCCGACTTTGACAGAGTCGCGCGTGGGTAAGAAGAGTGACAATCCCATCCAAATTGCCCCAATGTATTAAATAAACTAAAGGTAAAGATACTTAAGGTGTCCAGTAAAGCGAAAAATTAATGAATTGTATGAAAAATTGCACTGAAGACGAAACAAAAACGACTGAACTGTAATGAATATTGGAAAATGAACTCACTTGCACAAAGTGTAACGACGCATCAGGCGTGTGTGTAGTTCTTTAAACATCTATTTAGGGGGATGCGACGTTGAAAAACATCTTGTAGTGACGAAGCAGACTGTTGTTGTGACGGCGTGATTGTCTGGACGTCATTTCCGGCGTACGGCGTCATGGGCGACGGCCTTGGTTACGGGGGACTGCATGCAGCTGAAAGTTGAAAAATGCTACTTTTACAAACTTTTAGGGGTTGGTGTGGTTAAAGGACGGGCTGCACGTGTGAACAGGTATATTTCTAAGGTTTAGAAGTAATAAAATAGAGTATCTATTGAGAACTAAGGGCGAAAAACGGAGCGGCAGTGCAAAATAAGACGAATGTGAAGATGTAGGCAAAGCTGAGAGTTCTAATTTTTGATTGAAATATGAGTGGTGGGCCATTCCCGGAGGTACTGCAATACCGGGTCAACCCGTGATGAGGGCGGAGCAAGCCCCGTGGCACCTCATCCCATTCTAAAAATCAGTTTAATATCGATGTCTCCATTAGGAGACGTATCAGATATTAAGCTGATAAGAACAGATACTTTTTTTCTTTTTCATAAAATTTATTAGACCAAGAATTGAAACAGAAAATACACAAAAGGAGACAGTAGGACCACTACCTACAAAATAAAAAGCCTATCACAGTGGTGAGGTAGTGGCCATAACAATAGAAGAACTAGAAGAATAATGCTGAAAGAAGATAACAAAAAATCAGGCAACAGCCATAGTGAGCACAAAGTAACACAGTCAGTTTCCAGTGGAATCAAAATCTCTCACTATTTCTTTGCACACTTGGCCAAATCAGATAATGTTACTGTCAATGTGAAGTTTTGGTAAGGCACATCCGGGGGAAGCACATAGTTGGGGAGATTGGACCATACGTTGGTGTTAACGACAGCCTGTAACAACCGCTTGTGTACGATAGCCGCTTCATGTCCTTCATTCAGTCGATCCTCCACAAAAGTGTTTAAACTTGACATGTAGATGTTTACATCCGGGTATTCACCACTGGTCCTCGTCACTCTGACATTAACTTTCCACGATGTTGTCTTCGGAGTACTGGTTCCTTGAATGGCTCTCATTTCCGTCGACGCTCTCTCGGGGACAGTTACAACAACCGTGTGGTCACGGTTCTCCTCCACATCGGAATCGTGCACACTCGGAACACTCAACATGTCGTCATCATCATCATCCGAAGCACTGGAATCTGCATCATGTCGGTCCATTTGTTCCGCCCAACTGGGCACAGAAGTAGGTACATCCTTTGGTCCAAGAATAATCTCCTCACTGGCAACTTCCCCAGGCATGTCCATCAGTGCCATAGCAGAGTCCAACTGGGAAGGAATGTCGTCCTCAGGCACGGGGGCAGTTTTCCCTTTCTTTGCGCTCACGAGTGAATCAGACTGCTTCCTCTTCAAACTTAGGGCGGAATCCATATCATCGTCTGTAGGAAAGACTTCCGGCTCTTTAGCCTGAGTAGCAGACTGTGGCTGTGGTCTCTTCCTTTCTTTAGGCTTGACTGTGGGAGGGTCCGAGTCCATTCCATCTGAATCAGAATCACTACTGTTGACTTCTGTTGTCCTGGGTTTCGGATCTGGAGCACTAGCCGGACACTTAGCACGCACATGACCATGAGTGTGGCACTTGAGGCAAATAGGTAATCTCCCTGGGGCCGTAATAAGCATACTCTGCCTATCCCCGAACTTCACAATGTGAGGAATCCGCTCTTTTTCATCATCTGTAAGTTCCATTTTCACTATGCGAACTCCTGAATAGATGTCCACACCATCTATCGTCTCAAATTCCCTCAACACATCAAGAACTTTTCCATACTTGGCGAAATATTTCCTCAGAAAGTCACTCCTCACTGTGGCATGAATCCAATGAATACGCAATGGCACCATAAACTTGCCATAACTGTAAAAGTACACCTTATCCTTCCCAACAGCAACACACTGCAGCTTCAAAAGGTCCCGGGCACAATCCACATTCTTCATCGTAATGTATATCTGTCCATACTTATCCGTCTTCCAGATACCTCTACAATCGGCCAAGTTGAATTCCGGTACAGACGTCTTCATGTAGGACACAAACTCCTGAGTAGAAGATACCTTGGCAGTAAGGTAAACACGCAAAGTCCTGGCAGCAGCCTCCTGGTCCACATACTCAGCTGGAATGGGACCCTCGTGGACAGCTGCAGTGAAAGCCATGATGAAGATGCAAGGAGACTAATGAAAGTCACACGACTGCAGAGCAGACGATGCCTTACGTAGACCTGGGAAGGAAGCGGCAGTAAATACAAAGCAAAATGCAATAATACACACAAGCATGTAAAGTCTCATAAACTCCCTAAGGAGAGGATCGCTACTGGATTTTGGCTCAGATACTACACTTTGATCTTAGCCAAAAGGCCGAGAAGCGATGCCGGTTGCCGGCTTGCGCCGCCAAAGTACATCTACTGACACAACATACCATTTAGCTGCTGTTTATTTACATGAAGCGCTTAAAATCAGTGGCCAGCAATATTACATGCACAAATGAGTAAAAATGTTGACAGCACACGAGTGCGACACCCGAATGCTAGACGTTTGTGAAGATATTCAGCGTCTTTGATGAATGTAAAAATGGAGTAAATAGACCCATTTTGCTATGTATAAAGAGTGCGCCGATAAAACATGGCCAGACGTTGGGTAAACGTCCTGCAGCGACCCAGTCCAACGTGAATACCGGCCGCGACATTAGGACTTAATGAGTGGAGTCGGGGAGGCAAGGGGAGACAGGCCAGCTTGAATTAGCTTGGGCCCGACTTTGACAGAGTCGCGCGTGGGTAAGAAGAGTGACAATCCCATCCAAATTGCCCCAATGTATTAAATAAACTAAAGGTAAAGATACTTAAGGTGTCCAGTAAAGCGAAAAATTAATGAATTGTATGAAAAATTGCACTGAAGACGAAACAAAAACGACTGAACTGTAATGAATATTGGAAAATGAACTCACTTGCACAAAGTGTAACGACGCATCAGGCGTGTGTGTAGTTCTTTAAACATCTATTTAGGGGGATGCGACGTTGAAAAACATCTTGTAGTGACGAAGCAGACTGTTGTTGTGACGGCGTGATTGTCTGGACGTCATTTCCGGCGTACGGCGTCATGGGCGACGGCCTTGGTTACGGGGGACTGCATGCAGCTGAAAGTTGAAAAATGCTACTTTTACAAACTTTTAGGGGTTGGTGTGGTTAAAGGACGGGCTGCACGTGTGAACAGGTATATTTCTAAGGTTTAGAAGTAATAAAATAGAGTATCTATTGAGAACTAAGGGCGAAAAACGGAGCGGCAGTGCAAAATAAGACGAATGTGAAGATGTAGGCAAAGCTGAGAGTTCTAATTTTTGATTGAAATATGAGTGGTGGGCCATTCCCGGAGGTACTGCAATACCGGGTCAACCCGTGATGAGGGCGGAGCAAGCCCCGTGGCACCTCATCCCATTCTAAAAATCAGTTTAATATCGATGTCTCCATTAGGAGACGTATCAGATATTAAGCTGATAAGAACAGATACTTTTTTCTTTTGAATAAAAACGTTTTATTCCAATGAGGAAATGAAAATACAATTGCGGACAGCGCATAAACAGCTTACCACTCCACTATAAAAGACGGTATCACAAAAGAGTGTGGAGTGGCAGCACTAACAAAAATGGAAACTAGAAGAAGAAAAAAGGGTTTTGACACAGTCATAGAATGAAGACAGTTCACTTTGAAACAGCAGCATCATCAACATCACCATCATCATCATCATCATCATCATCATCACTAACATCGTCCGAGTCACAAGGGGGAAGAAACGAATTGACGGTATAAACCCCTGAACCCAGATGAGTACACTCTTTGGCATTTATGTCCGCTACCACCACGGCACGTAACCTGTCTCTCATCAATTTCCTGTGGCCATGACGGAATTGTTCCGACCATTCTCCAAGAAGGTCCTCTGGGAACTTAACAAACACACGTCCTTTGTTCCGAATTAGTGTCACTTTCAAAGGAAGTAAGTCCTGGGCAGCATTGACAGGTGGAGGCAAGGTTGGTCCTGGAAGTTCATCAGCAGCGGAAGGTAAGTCTGTGGGAGCAGGTTCAGTTGTACTTGTGGAAGTCCGGTCAATCAAGGTGGCAGGTAATTCTGGTAAACTGGTGTCCAGCTGGGAAGACTGTTCTGCCCAACTGGGCGGGGATGCTTGGCTGACTGACATCTGTGCAGAGGTGTC